ATTTGTCATCTCCTCTCCTCTTTGTTCTGGTTCTATTGTGTGTATGTTTGTGTGTTAGTTTGTGTTTACGTATGTAGGAGTGGGGTTGGTGAGAATGATCAAGGTTGAAAACCAATAGGAATAGGAAGTATTGCTAGTGATTTATGAAGCTGGGACAAGATTTTTAATGGACACATCTTGATTTTCTTGATTTCTTCTCCTTTTTGCCCCTTCTTTTTGTTTTGTTTTAGAGGTAGGAAAGAGGAAGAAGAGATAGAGGGAAAGAAACAATGATGTGATAGAGAAACATTGATTGGTTGCCTTCCATACACACTCCAACCAGAGACTGGTCCTGCAACTCAGGCCTGTGCCCTAATTGGGAATCGAAACAGCAACCATTTGCTTTACATGATAACTGAGCCACACCAGCTAGGGACCTTTCCCTTCTTCTGTTTTTCTTTACTTTCTACAGACCAATTTGATTTTTCTTCATAATAATAGAGAAAGGTGAATACCATTGATACGACAGCATGTCATGTCTTCCTCTCCCAGAAAACAAGAAATCTAATAAATCATTTTAAGATAGCATTGGAGAAACAACTTGTTTCAGCTACTTATATGGTCCTGAGCCAGAATTATTTCAGAAGAAAGATAAGTCAGACATGATAGGAAAAATCAGCTACCTTTTTGGATATCGCTTTTATCAGGTACAACAGGCCCATAGGCCATTTTTTAGAAATAACCACAGGTATTTGGGAAAACTATTCTTCCCGGAGCAACCACAGGTTGTTTAGTTGATTTATTAAAACAATAATAATGGAAGAAGAGTCTTAAAATTTTTCTCCATGCAGATGAGTGTCATTAATGGGTGTCACTGTTTACATTCTTTTTGGGAGCAGAAGCTCTGGAGTTGCCTCATTGCAGCCAGCAGCACTGTAGGGCTGTCAATATGACATACACAGGTCTCTATAGAAACATGAGCAGAAGGCAGAAGTCAGCTTTACCATGGGACTTGTCTTACCATAGGCAAGGGAACTCTAATAACCTTTTTAGATGTATTGTCTTAATTATCTAGAATAAGACTTTGTTTCTTTTTACTCACTTGTCTGCAAATATTTAGAGAGAAGGAAAAAAAAAATGCTAACGTACAAGACAAGGACAGAGAACAAATACAAACATGCCCTTAGTCAAAAAAGATTCTGATTAGATATTTTGATTAAAGATGTAATAAACAGATGGTGGAATTCATATATTGGAGAATTCTCAACAGTTCAAGTGACTTTAGGGCATGTATTTATGAAGTAATATAGCAAAGCATTGCTAAATGTCATCTTTCCTAAATAGAAAGAACAGTATTCTCATTGCCATGGCAATTTCAACAAGATGGACATAGAGAAAATAAAACTAGGTTTGTGTTATCATCCTGATCGCCAAGATGAGAAAGCTGAGATGAAGTGCTCAAATCTCCATGAGAAAAGACAATTTCTAAGAATGCGATTTGAAGGATGGTGAAAAGACATGCTATATATCAACCACAGCTATATATTTTTCAACTCTTCTCAGTAAATAAATTAAAAAATGTGGATTTGAAAATTAAGGTGATGGCTCAAATAAAACGCAGTCTTGACACATCTATAATTATGTTTATGTTTCAAAACATAATTAAATGATGGTCAATATGTGATACAAAATGCTAAGCACAATGTGTTACCTTAAATGTTTCACTCTGAAGATTTGCCAAATCTCGACAGAATTCAAGGAAGCATTTCAAATGAGATGAAACTTTGCTTAAATATATGCGCAACAAAATATCTGTAAATATTGAATGGGGAAATATTTCTTCTGAGTGTGCCCTATGTCACTACAAATTCTTGCTTCTCCCAGATCATCTACTTTATTGAGGAGGAATTTAATTCTGGAGTTTAATGAAGAGGAGGAATTTAATTCTGGAGTTTATTTACAATTTCTGATAAGAAAGCAAAGAATAATTTTTAAAAAGGATCTAGTTTTTTATTGCACTTTTTTTTTGTACCTGTGAAATAGCATTGCTACTAGCTCTTTAAGATAACTAACATTTTTCAAGGTAATTATTTGATTTTCTTTAAGAACATCTGAAGTATTTAATTAGATGTCAAAACTCAATTACCCCATCTGATTATTTTAGATTATAAGATCTGTCTGGAAAAAGTCCAGCCATTGTTAATATAGGGAAAATGGTTTGAGAGACATTATTCAACTTGCCAACAGAGGAGAGTGGATTGGAATGTGCATGCGTGAACAATGACAACTTCATTGTACTAGTCCGTGGGGGCAGGAGAGGCTGTTGAGTGAGCATGTGTACTGTGTGGCTGTCACATTCACAATAACTAAATGAATAGAGCAACAAATATACATCAACTTTTACATTAAGTTTGAGCATTCCTCTGTGGAAGCTATTCAGATGATTCAGAAGGCCTAAGCTATGGGCAACTGGTGACTGCCACCTTCATCAGGACAACATGTCTGCTCATGCATCAGGTCTTGTGCAGAGTGTTTTGGTGAAATATCAAATCATGCAAGTGACTCAGCCCAGATTTGGAGCCCTGAGACTTCCGGCTTTTCCTCAAACTAAAATCACCTTTGTAAGGGAAGAAAGTTCAGACATTGATGAGATTCAAGAAAATATGATGAGGCAGCTGATGGCAATCGGGGAACTGTGTGTCTCCATTGAAGGAGACTAAGGCATCATTGGCCTTTGCATAATGTTTCTTGTATCTTGCATTTTCTTCAGTAAATGTCTCTATTTTTCCTAACACATGGCTGGATAACTTGTGGACAGAACTTGTATATGTGTATGGGCATGTATGTGTATATATGTATGTGTTTATGTATATAATTATTTTCTTCCCATATTTCTAGTACATTTATAAACCATTTAACCTAAATATTAGCTCATGTAGACATGTCAGTGAGATCAATATTAAGATAATGTATTTAACTGTAGCTTAGGCCAGTAAAATTAATTCTCTTCCACAGTTAAAACTGTTTTCTCTTCTCTCAACATCTATGACTATTTATACCTACTCTAATTATTGAGCATATGCTATATCCTAGGTACTTAGTGTTATTTACATGCATTATCATTAAACTTTATCACATTGTCTTTATCTAGTGTAATTTAATCTAAGTTTCAAGTAAACTAAAAATTCAATCTCTTCTAACAGGTTGCAGAACAAGAAACCTAACTAAAGCCATTTTTATTACAAAAACTACAGTCTTTACATTGGACTACATTATCTCTGAAAACTATTGGTCATACGGAAGATTTTACCAATTTAGAATTAAAAGAATTTACTTTTACATTTCTTCAATTAGTAAAATAAAATTCAGATCAAATGTGTTAGATATATATTGCAGTTTGAGGTAATAGGCTGAGAAATTGACTTTTTTTTTTTTTTTTTTTTTGCTTTTTAAGACACCATTGAAATAACCTAAATGTGCATAGATAACTAAAGAAATAAGAGAGGAAGTCATCATCAGGTGTAAGAATACAATGAACTCCTAGAAGATATAGCTTCGATAAAGCTATATTTACTAAAACGTGTTTTTTTAATTGCTATATCTCAGAATCTACAACGATCCCTGAAAATTAGGAGAGACCTAATGCATTTTGTTGAATGAATCAATAAATAAAGACATGAGCTCGGGCCTCAACAACTTGCAGGAGGAGACTAAAGCAGATATATATGCTGATGGGTTAGAAACGGCTGAAGGGAGACAGACAGTTGAAAAGAGGAAGCACAGGTAACACCCACTATTTGAAAGGTTGTTACATTTCTTCACTTTTATGAAAAATATGTTTGTGCCTGTTTTCATTAAGCAAAAGAAACCGATAGAGGACTTTTGGTTCTCTGAAAAAAGACGAGAACAGCGTACAGCATTTGTTTTGCACACGCCAGTAGAGAGTCCGCGCGCACCTCGGACAGCAAGAGCGGCCCCTGCAGCCCCTTCCCCTGGAACCACACTCATTACCTCAGCATTAAGCCATCAGAACCCTGAGCTGTATCTGTGAACATCTGTGACTTATGTCAGCTTGTTTTGTGCATCCGTTAGTAAGATGTGTCTGGAGGTACCTGAAAAGCCTAAGAGAGCTTGTATGGATATTGCAATTTAACATAAAACTGGACTGAAGTGTTTTGATGGTGGTCAACAAAATAAAGATATTCTGTGTGTTTAGTCCTTGCCTGCTTCCATCATTCATATTATTTAACTCCAGAGAGTAAGAATCTTGAAATTTGCTGAAGTTATTACTGGTTTTGCTAAGAAGCAAAGTGGTCTGTTTTAGTGGGCATTCAGTAATGGGTACAGTTTATGATATTATTCCTGTATTTACTGGACACATGTGAGTGTTATTTTAGGTTTTATGTATTATTTTGTAGGTTATTTGGGAAAATATTTTTTCCTTATAAATTAAATGTGATTCCTTCTTCACTTTATGCCATTTTGGCTTATGAATGGTTTCACAGGAACTTTCAACTTTCAGATAGTGGGGGAAACCTGTCATTGAAAGCCTGTGTGTGGGGCACATAGAGCAAGCCGCCTCGTCAAAAATGGTCCCACGCACATTTTGCTGAGGGACCAAAGCTGGTCTATTATCACAAAGCAAAGCCAAAGGTTTCCCCTTTGAAGGAATTGCCCAACATTTTGGGAAATGCGTAGCTCTGCAAGAATGGAAATTGATGTTTCACAGTAATGTGCTAGGAACTCTAGTTAAAGAGATAAAAAAAGATAAAGGGAAGCTGAAGAAAATGAAGGAAAATGTGAGATGCAGATGACTGATGAAGGCTATTTGACTACAGGAGTTTTACAACAACAAAACAAAGAAATGGGGGTGGCACGATAGTGATAGTGATAGTGATAATTGTAGGACATTCTAGGAATAAAGATGACACAGATGATCTATGGAAAGCACCCATCAAATACCAAGTCAGATAAATGGGGAAATGCTTAAGAATCTTTATTTTATTTATTTTTTATTTTTTTAGGGGAGAGTCCAAACACAGTCCCCCATGAGCACAAATTATGCAGTCAAGTTTCTTATATTTGGGGGAATCACAGGGGATAGCGTATTTAGAGAGCAATGGGTAAGCCTCGCCCTGGGAAAACCACCTTCACCATCACGGTATTCTCCCTGCCAGGTAAGTATCAAGGCTCTTTAAAATAGAAGGAAAGGATGAAGGAACGTTTCTAAAAGTTCCTAGAGGGAAACATAATTTTATAGAAAGGGATCAAAGAATGAAAGTCAGAAGCTTCAGTTTTGTTTTATTTCATTCTTAACAATGAGCAAAAGTGAAAGTTGGAAAAAGAATAAGGAAATGTTCTCCAAGTTTTGAGGATGTATAATTTTGAATGTAGATTCCATAAGCTAGAAAAGCAATCGAGGGTGAGGACAAAGCAACTGTTTCAGAAACATGCAGAGACACAATTTTAGATTTAATAAATATTTTTTTGAGTAAGTACTATGTGTCAAGGATTCTTGTAGCCACTGAAGATAGAATAGTGAATAAGGCAGGCAAGGTCCCGACTTAATGAATCATACATTCTAAGGGCAGGAGACAAATAAACAAAGACAGAAACAAACAAAAATAGTAATGGATAAAATAGAAAACAAGCTCTTAAGTTCTCTATTGATGAAAAATCAATACCAAAGGCCTTGCCTTGAATCATGGCTCTTCTTAACATCCGGTTCCATTTATAACTAACATCAGATAAGTCAAAATGTCAGGTTAACAAAATGCATAGAAGTGCTTCCTCTCTCTCTCTTGTCCCCAACCTTCTGCTTCTTTTTGACATTCAATTTCTCTGAATCTATGGTAGTTAAAGTACTACAAAGTGTCTGTTACATTAGTCTCTGATTTGGTGCCCTGTTAAATAGCTATTCTAAACTCTCTGCTACCATTATCTTTGGAACAAGTCCTGAGGTAGCAACTGGCTTTATCACTGAACCATTTTTGTGTTATAACTTCTGTCCCTGTAACTATGAGTTTTCTTTAATTCATTATTTCATCTTTCATATAATTTAAGGTCTATTATTTTCTTTTTAAAAATTAATTTCTCTTTCTAACTCCTCATAGTAATCCTCTTCCATCTCAAAGTTTGCTTGCTGTTTTGGGCCATGCCTGCCTTTCTGCTCCCTGCTGGGATTCATAACTGCTGCTTGGCAGATGAACCCTGGCTCGCCTAATCATTGCTTTGAAATTTCCACAATCCAATTAGCAGGCAACAGCAGTGCAGAGGGTGTTTCTCAAGCAAACCGCGAAGCTGCCCTCTATGAGTTTTCAAATTTACAGTGACTCATTATAATTATAGTTTTTCATAATTAAAAATCATCTGTGTCTATGGAAGTCTTAATCATGATATTATATTATCATGATTACCTCTGAACATAGGTGAGGCCAACACTAATTAAGAAACATTTACCTAACTCAGCAAATATTGGCCAGAGATTCGCTGATGGAAATCTTATTATTCCAAGCAAACTTGTGTTGGATTCAAGGAAGAGAGACATAACAGAGGGCTAAAATTTAGCGAACACCTTTGCAAATAGTATCTTAACAGAAAGTAACTTACTAAGTGAGGAATACAATAATGAAAGGTTACTGGACTTACTTTCTTTTTCCTATATCACATGGCTATTAATGTGTAAGAAGTTCTACTTTAAACATAACAATCTTGTGTGATGTACTCTTCTCAGACTATCCTGAGGATTTCACAGGTATGGCTGAGTTCTGGGGCATAGATTAATTTCTCTGTGTCAAGGTACACTCTTCAATCTTTTCATGCTTTACATGGCAGGGATACAATATGGCATAGTGTGAAATCCAAAGCGGGAAGTAGGGACACCCAGGTGAGCATCCTGAACGTGCCCTTGACAGCTGGGCATGTCACCACTGGGCACATTACTGGTATAAATCAGCTGTAGGTACCCCATATTAGGGTAATGGTGTTGCCTAAACGTTATGGGGATTGAAGCAAATGTGAATAAATCTCAGTGACACTATTATGTAGTCAATAATTGTCAATTTATTGGAGGCTTGCTGTTACAAAACAGCGGTTTGAAGAAAAAGAGGGAGGCGATTTATTAAGATTTTGAATCATTGTTCTTTTACTTGTCAGTGAAAGGACTCTAAGAGTTAAGGACTTTAAGAACTATAGGTTGCAATAACTAGGAATGAAATTTAGAGTTTTACTGTGTCCCATGAAAATTTGCTATTCTTAGTTTAGGACTAATCTTGTTTAAACTTTCACAAAGATAGAAACAACTAGTAGTAACTGTTGATCTTGATATGGGTTGATATAGATATAGTGCAGTCCGAATCGAAATCCCAGCAAGCAATTTTGTGGATATTAGTGAATGGATCCTAAAGCTTATATAATGAGGCAAAAGACTTAGAATAGTCAACACAATATTGAAAGAAAAGAAAAAAGTTGAAAAACTGGCATTACCTGACTTCAAGATGTGCTATAATAAATAAGCCGGTGTGGTTTTGGCAAATGAATAAACAGCTCAGTGGAAAATAATAGAATACCCAGAGATAGATCCCCAAATTTAGTTAAGTGATCTTTGAGAAAAGAGCCAAGGCAATACAAAAGAAGAAAAATAGTCATTTCAACAAATGATGTTAGAAAAACTGGAGATCCACATGCAAAATAATGAATCAAGACACAGATGTTACACCTTTCACAAAAATTATCTTGAAATAAATCATAGACCTAAATGTAGAGCACAAAAATTATAAAACTCTTAAAAGATAACATATGAGAAAACCTAGATAACTTTGAGTATGACAATGAATTTTTAGATATAACACCAAAAGCATGACCCATCAAAGAAAAAATTTATAAGCTAGACTTCATTAAAATTGGAAACTTTTGTTTTTTGAAAGACAATGTCAAAGGAATGAGAAATAAACTGCAAACTAGGTGAGAGTATTTGCAAAAGACACACATGATAAAGGGCTGTTGAAATATACAAGCACTGTTAAAACCCAGCTATAAAACAGCCCAGTAAAAAATGGGCCAAAGACTTTAGTAGACACATCATCAAGGAAGATATACAAAAAAGCATATGAAAAAATTCTTCACATCATATGTCATCAGGGGAATGCAAATTAAAACAATAATGAAATACCACTACAGACTTACTTGCGTGGCCAAAATCTGGAAAAATGATAATAGCAAATGCTGGTGAGGGTGTAGAGCAATAAGAACTCTTAGTCATCTCTGGTTGAAATGCAAAATGTTATGGCCACTTTGGAAGAGAGTTTGGCAGCTTCTTACAAAAGTAAATATTTTCTTATTACACAGTTCAGCAATTTTTCTTCTTAGTATTTACAGAGAAGTAGAGAACATATCTACACAAAAACCTGCATGCAGGTGTTTATAGTAGCTTCACTCCTAACTACCCCAAACTGAAAGTAACCAAGATGCCCTTCAATAAGTGAATGGATAAGTAAATTGTGGTACTTCTAAACAATGGAATATTATTCAGTGCTAATGAATTAACTATCAAGAAATAAGCAATGGGGACAGGATCAGCTAGCTCAGTTGCTGAGAGCATTGTTCTGATAGGTCAAAGATATGGGTGTAGGTTTGAATCCTGGTCAAGCACATAGAAGAATCAACCAATGAAAGAATAAATAAGTAGAATAACAAATCAGATCTTTCTCTCTCTCTCTTTCCCTCTTTTCTCTCTGTGCCTAAAAATCAATAAACTTTATAAAAGAGCTATGAAACCATGGAAAGACAGAGAGGGATCTTAAATGCATTTTACTAAGTGAAAGAAAGCAATCAGAAAAGGTCACATGATTCCCACTACATGACATTTAACTTGGTGTCCAAATGTGTGGCAATGCATAGAGACTTTTGACACGCTATGCCAGATTTTATGAGTTGCATAAAGTAGTCATGAGTTTCTTTGTGCTAAACTGTAAATAATACCTTCCCAGATTAACTAAGGCAACATTGACACAGTGTCAGAATAAATGATTATGAATAAAAGTAAAAGAAAAAATCTGAATCCTATATTTGTTTAAAGATATACCATATGTAAACACATATTTTAAATAAGTAAGTGCATTTATTATTTTAATTTAGGGAGTTTATATTCATTAGTTTGTGTGTGTATATGACCATGATTAGACTGACATAACGATAAGTTGACTGGAGTGTGTGTGTGTGTGTGTGTGTGTGTTTTCTATGTGCCAGGCACTAAAGTAAATACTTTACATGCACTAACTCATTTAATCTTATGATAACTTATGAGTCAGGTTAAATTATCATCTTCATTGTACATATGAAAATATTGGGGCTTTACGTTACTCCTATCCTTTATAATAATTTGATTATATTATCTGATTAATTTCTCCCTTCATATGATGGCAGTATCATAAGAATATGTTCTATGTTTATTTTTACTCATTGTGTTTCTGGTACATATTACAGAGCCAGAGACATACTATATGTTCAAGACACATTTTACAAATTATTTATATATTACATAATTTGTTAACAATTTTAGTTGTGATATCAAGGGTGCTGATGGCTTAATGTTACTTCTTAATATTTAGTCAACATTTCCCAAAACCTTGAACAAAAGGTGGGTAATTTTAGAAGCTATGTCAACTTTTTATGGTAAAAGGATAATATTTATTGACCTGAACAAATTATTTACTTAAAGAAGTTCAGAGCTTACATTCATAATCTTTGATGATTTCCAATGTGATTTTTTTTAATATTATGATATAGTTCATATACTATGTCTGTGGCATTAAATCTGTGAAAATATTTTAGTGACTAGAGGACCTGGGTGATTTTACATCGATTCTTAAAATAAATATAAGAATACCAATAAATTCTTAGAATACCATGTTTTCTTGAGGTGAGCTGGACAATCGGTAAGGTTGGGGAAAAACAAATGTGCCACCTGCTTACAAGGACTCTTGCCACCATTCTCAGAAGTACATGGAATTATAAATTATGCTGATAATAAGGCCACTGGTTTTGGAGTTCTTCCAGACTGAGACTCAGGCACTGTTGATATTTAAGACATATTTCCCAAGCCCAGCTAATGATACCTACCACATCTGCCTCTCACTGTGAAAAAACTGGTCCCTGTGATTGAGAAGTGAGACCCACCAGGATATT